TTGGAAAGAAACACACAAAAAGCAAAAGCAGCTCTCTGCAAGAGATGAAACTGATTTGATCTGGAAAGATCTTTGGTGTTTTCATTGAGGAATAAACTCTTGCAATAGTCTTTTGTTCTGCAAGACGCACACATAAGATTAGTCTTATTTCCACATTTCAAAGTAAACTCAAGATAATTACAAGCACTAAGATCTCTTAAATGAGGCTCCTCTGTAAGATGCTCACTTGTATATGAGACCTGCATTTCAAAGTCACCTTGTTTTTGCTTACATTAAAAAATGAGTGTTACGTTCTGTAAAGAAAATAGTGTAATACTTAACAGCACAGGAGTAGACAGAAAGACCACTGGGATAGAAAATACACCCAAAGTAGGCTACATAAAAAGTATGCAGCATGTGTCCAGACCTTGAGTTCTAATATTCTCCACCAAAATGAGCCAGGGCTCCTTTGGAGAAGTGGCTGACTCTAACTCTAGGACTGTTCAAGGGAAGCACGAAGCACTCTTGGGATATGCTGGTGGCACAAAACCACCAAGTACTCAAATGCTAATAAGACCAAAGTTGTAAAGAGCCAGCCTGGAGTACCCCCAGGCCAAATCTGAATAGTAGGACTTAATATTATTTTTTAAAAACCCAATGATGATGGAAATAGATTATAATACAATAAACAACAATAAAATCCCAGGAGTCCATGACGAGAGAGAAAGAGAGAGAGAATACAGAAAAAGGAAAACTCTATTTTAAAAAACTCCATATAGTTAATATAGAATGATAGAATTAGAAAATTAACATTTTGCAACATTTGATAAAATAACTGATCCCAGCAAAAAACATTAATGGATGCCAAAACCACTGAGTGAAATTTTGTGGAGAACAGAATTCAAAATATACCCTAAGCCGGGGATTTAGCTCAGTGGTGCCACTGCCTGCCTCACAAGTGCAAGGTCCTGAGTTCGATCCCCAGTAGCAAAACAAAACAAAACAAAACACACCCCAAAATAATCACACATATTATGAAGGGAAAAACCACTTCATAATGGAGTGTTCTCAAGGTTACCACTAAGCCAAATGATCAAACTCAGTAAGACCGATTGATAGAAGGCCAAGCTGACATCCTGGGCCTTTCTCATTCCATATGCTGTGAAGTATGTATATAATATCAGTTGTTCTTGCCAAAAACCTTTAACTTGAATTTAATAACAAAGAATCTATTATAAAGAATGCCAGACATGATAGTGTACACTTGTAATCCCAGCATCCTGGGAGGCTAAGGCAGGAGGATTATAAATTCAAGTCTAGCCTGGACAACTTGATGCCTTATTGTTTCAAATGTTAAAAAAAATTAAAAGGGGCTTGGGATGTGGCTTAGTGGGAAGGCCCTGGGTTCAACCTCCAGTACGGGGGAAAAAAAATTAGAGAAATCTAGAATGTAAGACATTCTATAGGACAATTGGGCCTAGATTCCTCAAAAAGGTCAAGTCAATGTCTGTCCATGAATGGGGAGTAGGGAATTGTTTAGATCAAGACAGACTAAAGAGTCAGAAATACCAAACATAATGTGTGTACTCTGATTGGATCCCACAACTCCAGAAGATACCCGGGGGGTGAATGGAGGAAATGTAAATATAAGTGATATATTAAATATTAAATCACTATGCACTGACCTAGATGTGGTCATCATACTGTGATTATCTGGAGAATGTCTTTAATCTTGAGAGATGTGTGCTGGGGTATAAAGGGTACAACGTCATGAGGTCCATAACTTTCTTTCAAATGCATGCTTCAGAAAAATAAGCAGAAAGGGTGAGGGAAGAAGGACAGAGAAGAAAGCAGTTGGAAAGGGGGAAGGAATTGGAAAAAACTACTCAGGGAAATTCTACACAAGAGTAATACCTATTCTTTGGGAAAAAGAAACTATTCCTGTGTATATCTTAAGTAAGCTTGATAACAGGTGGCCATCTTACTGGGGTGGTGAATGTATTTTTTTTTTTTTAATCTGCCTTTCACCCAAGACTTAGCACAAAGAAGTAAGGACCCAAATGATTTGTAATCCAGCCTTTACAACTGTACTTTTGTTAGTAGACTGTGGCCTATGATCCCAGAACTCTGAGAGACTGAGGCAGGAGAATTCCAAGTTCAACTCCAGCCTGGACAACTTAGTGACTTAGCCAGATCCTGTCTCAAAATAAAAATAAAAATGTCTAGAGAAGCCCAATGCCTAGGCCCTGGACTCAATCCCCAGCACTGGACAACATAAAAAGAACTGGATTATGAACTAAAAGATGCTCAGCACTTGCTCCCTCTACTTAGAAGCACCTGTGACTCCCCTTATTTCATCCACAAAATGCGACTAAAGGCAGAGGCTAGCAAACTGCCTCAACCTCAATACAGTGGTCTTTGTGTTAGACTCACCTAGATGAACTAGATTCGAGCAATGAACAAAATTTCAAGAACCACAAAGACTAACCACAATCAAAATGTGTTAAGTCCAGAATTAATGACAGCCACAGATGCTAACAAAAGCGGCTAAAGGCAGAAGCCAGAACTGTCATATTATAAAGACCACTCTGTAGAACATGTTCTGTAACACTTCCATGGCTTGCAAGCACAGAGCTAAGATAGACCTGAATTATCACCTTCTTCCTTGTGCACCACCATCCATCAGTCCTGTTATTTTTAACAAAAATAACAACTGTGTAGGTATTAGCATTATGCTGCATGCTCTTCCTATATTACATGTTCAAGCCTCAGAACAACTCTTTGCAGTATATATTACTACTGGTTGGTACTTTATAGGGTTAACATCCCCAAGGTCATGCTGCCTATCAAGTATTTAAACTTGAATTCAAATCCAGATTTGTCTGAATCAGATGCACATGGTTTAAAACTTATTGTGATGTTGCCTCCTATGAGCAAAACAAGAAATGACTCAATTGCCACACCTTAATCAGTATGCAACTCTTTCAAAGGTGGGAGATAAAAGTTTGAGGACTGCTCTCTCATTTAAGACAAACTAATTCACAAACCACTCCAGAAACATGGATGCTTCTACCGAATGGCCCAAGAGTCCTCTCTCTACTGTAGTCGTCTGTGTTCCTTTATGCTAGAAGAAACTCACTCGATTACATCCAATTCTTCAGGCCACAGGTTTAGAAAAGACTGCTGAGACAAAAACTTGGAAATCTGACGGTTCTAAGCTGAAGGTTCTAATACAGCTCAGGTTAAGGAAGATTCCTGATATTCAAAATAACCTTTACTTTTCTTGACCTGAAATTACTTCTCCCAAAGAGATCTTTCATATACAAGCATAAATATCTCCAAATTCCTGCAATTCATAAATGTCACCACCTGCCAGAATGCCTGTGAGAAGAATATGGGCAAAGGTATCTCTGAGTAGAAACAGGGATGAGAAACAAAGCCACTTTATAATTAGCAATAGCCAGCAACTCTCAAGTGTTTTCTCATGCTTTTCTCTTCTGAGTACATTTTTATTTATTTTATGTTATTTTCTGACCATCCTGGAGATTGAACCCAGGGCCTTCTCATTGAGTTATATCCCCAGACCTCTGTCTATCCACCTACTACCTACTTACCTACCTGCCTATCTATTGAGACAAGGTCTTGCTAAGTAGCTAAGTTACAGGGCTAAAACTTGATCTTCCTGCCTCAGTCTTCCAGAGTGCCAGGATTATAGGCACGCACCATCTTCCGAGTACCTTTTACACATATGAATTAATTTAATCATCACAGCAGTCCTTAGCCCTGTTGCAGAAATGAGGAAAATGAGGCCAGATAGGTTAAGAATCATTCGCTCAAGGTCTCTGATATAATAGGCAGCATAATTGGGATTTAAAACCAGGTAGTCTGGTTCTAGAACCTGTAGCTCTGCCATCTCTCAAAATGCAAGAACAAGGGATTGGTTTCTGGCATCAGCTGTGGAAAGGCCAGGAAAGCTAAAAAAAAAAAAACAATAGCAACGTTTTCCATGTCTCCCTGCAGGGACCCTGGATGCACCCATGTAAAGGCTTGGTGATGGTAAACACCTAACACCGTGCTGAACAGGATCTGCATCCACAGCCCCACACTGCAAGCTCCCTGCGGCTTAGATGGTGCTGGCACATACACCATAACGTTATCCTTTCCAGGATCTCTGGGGTCAGAGAACAAACTGATGAGATAACAGTGGGTGGTCAAGGCACCAATATTCATGTCAGCTCACTTCCCTGGCCTTCTCAGTAAACACCAGATACCAACCAGGCAGGGTAAGGGTCCTGCTTTTTTGTTTTCTGGTGAACCCAGGTCCTTACACATCCCCAGCCCTTTTACAAATATTTTTATTTTGAGACAGGGTCTTGCTAAGTCACCAAGTTGCCCAGGCTGGGCTTGAACTTTTGAAATACCTCCTGACTCAGCTTCCCAGAGAGCTGGGATTATAGCTTGCTCCACCATACCTGGGCTGTACTGCTCTTTTCTTTACGAAATAATGACCTATATCTGGGCAGAGTACTATGGAGTTTATTCAGTTACTAACAGACAATTCTATTCTGTTTAGAAAATTGTTTTTTTTTTAATGCTGCAACATGGGTGGACTTTAAAAATATTATATTGAGTGAGGAAGGACCTCATTTTAAAGTTATAAAGGACCATATATGATTTCACTGATATAAAATATCCAGAACAGGCAAATCATAGATACAGAAAGATGATTGCTTAGCACTGGGGAGGTGTGTGGTGCGTATGAAAGAGGAGGCTGCTAACAAATACAAGGTTTCTCTGGTGGGGTGAGATAAAAATATCCCCAAATTGATTGTGGTGAGGGCTGTACAACCTGTGCCTACACTAAGAACAATTACGCTGGATTCTTGGAATGGATGAGTTGAATGGTATATGAATTATATCTTATTAAAACTGTTAGAAAAAACAAAATAGCAACATAGAAGCAATGTCCCCATCCTAGCCTGCCCGCTGCCACCTCACCCGCATGAGCTGCTGGTACTCACTTCGACGTCCTCGTGGAATCATCTGTCCAGCCTCCCAGCCTACGAGGTGGTTTGGGGGGAGGAGCCTGTGACAGAAGAGAGGTCAAAATGAGTCACTTCCCATGCACCACACACCACAGGGGCTGAGGTTCAGGTTACCTAAGCCAAGAGCCTATCAAGGTATTCCCTCCCCAGAAAGATAAAGATAAAAAGGTATGAATAAAATACAGTAAGCTTTCTGGTTAGCTATGAAAACATGGGTGCCTGCAGACCCTCCTCATGGGTATATAAGCTGAGAGAATATTTCTGGAGAGCAGGTTGGCAGGCGTCTACTGGAAGATTTAAAACACACACACTTTTGGCGGGGAAGAGTGAGCCCTGCACATGCTCAGCATGAACTCCACCACTGAGACACCTCCCTAGGCAGCTCGTACTTTTTAAACCAGGAATTCTAATCTCGGGAATTTATCTCAAGGAAATAGAGAGAGAAGAGCATAATGTTACTTTTGAATAATGAATAATAGCTGGAAACCACCAAAATGGCCAGCAATAGGGAATTAAGTAAATGGCAGAATACACATGAAAATCTTATGCAAATAATGCAAGACTACATTTTCAAAACATGACCTGAAGGTCAATATGTATCTCCAAAAATATTAAAAAACCACAGGCATAAACTCCTGATTTTAGAAAGATCTTGAATACCTAAGATCTACTGTTAATTAGCTATAGGTACATAATGGGGGAGGGACTCCAATTATAGGCAATTTCAATTTTTCCCCTTGTACTGTTACGCATTTTCAAATTTTTAAAGTCAACTTTTATTAACTTTTACAAAACAAAAGTAATAACAATATAAGAAGCTTGCTTAGAAGACATAAAACTGGTAAGTCAGAATCTACTCAAATTATGCGGGCAGGAAGTATTCACCTTGAATGGGCACATTCAGACACCTAAGCACACAAATTCTTACCCCGCATGTCTCAACCAGAAATACCAAGGGAACACCAACCAATTCACTGAATCACCGAAGTTGGATAAAAGAGCCTAGATCCTCCCTATTTTGAATTACCCAGCATTTTCGTAAGACTATTCTGTGAGATGCCAATGTTCTTTTCCAAGAACTTCATAGGATTGTAACTGTTGCTCTCAGTCTAAAGAAGTACCCTGATAAAAGGACTAAAACAGAAGTGGGCAAGTTTTTTCTATAAGGGGCTAAGTAGTAAATTTTTTTTTTATTGATACAATTATTCTACTCTGTTATGGCACAGCAGTACAATAAAGAGCCATAGTAACAAGTGGGCAAATGAGTGTAACTAAATTTCAAGAAAACTTTACAAAAACAGGGCCATATTTGGCAGGAAGGATGTGGTTTGCTGATCCATGGACTAATATGCTGTATCATTATGACCTTCTTTTTTGGTGGCTTAATGCCCAACCTGGAACTTAAAAAAAAAAAAAAAAACTCCCTTCAACATGCCTGAATACCTTTATACTTTTGATATTTTTATTTTACACTATGATACGTTCTTTCCTCTTCCCTAGTGGTGCCTCAGCCTGCCAAGGATGGGCTCTATTTACAATACAGGGGCTTTCTGCAGTGTGAGCCGGAGCCTGCTGGAAATGACTGCGAAGGATTCCAGGTCCTGGAATGCCTGTATCCAGTTTCACGTCTGGGAAATGTAAGTAGCACCTGAGAGAAAACAAACTCAAGTTTCCTATGCAAGAAGCCAGCAACAGAGCTGTCTGAAGGTTTTTTACATTTGTTAGAAACTACAAATGCAGAAGTAGAAAACCAGCTATTGTTTGTCACTGCATGGGGAAAATCTAAAGATATATTAAGAGACTGCGTGGCTGTTTCCCAGTCCACCCCACACTCACCTATGCACAGGCAGGAAGGGAAGCCTTGCAGGCCATGGCCCCTCTTCCCCTAGAGACAGCTGCGCAGAGCTGCACAAGACCTAGCCAGAACCAGTCAGATTCCCAGTCCCTTGATTGTGGAGTAGAAGCACTGAGGCTGAGTAGTTCAGATAGCACTGAGCACTGGAATTATAAGCTTAGATTAGCTAGCATTAGAATAACGCAGAACGATCAGAAGTCAGGGCTGTGTACAGACAAAATCCAAGGCGCTCACCGTTAGCTTTTACCATGTGTAAGGCACTGGGCTGAGGAGATGGAATGGTACAGTGAACAGAACTAAACTGGAGGCCCTTGAAGATGTGTTAAACCAGTGTGGCCTGCAACTATTTTCTCTGTGCTTTCATAAATAATGCTGTATTTCTTTACCCAAGCATAGGACTATCTTGTAATAATGTACTACGGTCATAAACTGGTGGCCATATGTTTTGCTTGGCCATACAATTTTTGGATTTTTGTTTTAAATTTAAACTACCATTTAAAGACAGCCATATTTTTTTAAAAAATCAATTTCCAGCTTCTCTTGAAAAACGAATGCTGGGGCTGAACAGCTGCTGCCCCCTGTAGACAGGACACATGGGCTACAGTTTACCAGAATCTTCTCTTCTGTCTCTTGCCTACTGAAGTTCCTTTCCACCTAAAGGTAATATGAAGCCACATTTCCTCCAGTGTTCTCCTGGTTACAAACTGGTGCTAACAACTATAAAATAAAAAGCTCACTATTCCGGGCATGGTGGTGCACGCCTGTAATCCCAGCTATCGAGAGGCTGAGGCAGTAGGATCACCGTGAGTTTGAGACCAACCTGGGCTACAGAGCGAGTTCCAGGTCAGTCTCAACTACACAGTGAGACCCTGTCTCAAAAAAAAAAAAAAAGCTCACTATACCCAGGGAGCTTCAGTTTCAAAACTAGTTGCTAACTAATCACTTCTCTATACCCCCTACAGTTTAACAAGTTTCTAAATTCAAAGGTTGTCAGGAAGAGCTGACAAAGCATTGCTAAATCTACAGTATATAAACAGCTTTTCATTTCACCCAAACACTAAGAGACCCTGGGAGAAGAAATGATGCAAAAGAAATCCTCTGAGCTGACAGGGCTCCTGCTTCCCACTGGAGCCTTGGTAATGTTCAGAGGAGAATAGTGAGGCAGGTAGAGACAGGAGGGGCAGGCAGAACTCGGCTCTCTGCAAAGTGGGGCCTGGGCATTTAGAGGAAGAGGCTTTGTCTCCTGACAGGAATTCCTATGTTCATGACTAAGTACTCCAAGCCCAAGGACTGGAAGCGCTTCTGTAAACATCCCCTCCAAACAGTCTTGTCATGGCCACACACAAACACCCTGGCTGACTGAGACAGACTGAATTAACCACTGTGGCCTAGTTAGAAATGCTCTTCCCTGGAATTCAGCTTTATTCCCTGTGTGAGGAGCTGGGCACTGTCCTAGGTGTACTAAGACAGAAAAAGAAGATGTCATCCCTGTCCCCAGATGTTACCCAGTTCAGTGAGGCCAATAGGAGGAGAATTTAGTGTGTATCAGGTCTGTGTGAAATTTACATGGCCAGATGTCGGGCTTAATCCCGGAAGCCACCATGGAGGTGGAAGCAGGCATGAATGACTTAGAGTTATGGAGTTGTTCCAGGGAAAGGCCCATCTCAGGTCCCAAGCTGAAGCTGAGTAGGGATCCCTCTGTTTTAGGCAGCTCCAATGAATTCTGCAGTTTTCTTGTCACCACAGTGGTGACACTATGGTCACTTTCTCCTAGGGCACCGTTAAAACAGCACTGAAAAGCATGTATAAAGCTTGTGGCACATGACTAAAGGACAGTATTAACCCAGAAGTACTGATGAGAAAGAGAAGTGGAGGAAAGTGGGGCTTGCTTTGGATTAGGAATGTAAAGGCAAATGCATTCCAGAGCAACCAGATCCAAGGACAAAATGTTACCAGAGACCGCACACACTCTTACAGCAAATGTTTCTAGACTATCACCATAATGGTAAGGTCCCTGGGAAAAGTCTTTGGGGTCTCAGCCCCTTAGCACCTATTATTTTATAATGCAGGCTGTAAGTGGAAACCAACGAACCTGCTCATAATGCAGGAGTTTGAAATTAAGTGCAAACGACCTGTTTGAAATGGAAGCAGATGACTGCTTTTAGTAACAGAGCATAAAAGGCATGGCAGTTCCTTGTGCACAGCAGTCTAGCCCCTGAATGTCTGGCTGCTCCCCCTAGGAGCTCTGATAACAACTGAACACCTAGTTAGCTCCATTCCCCAGAGAGTTCCAGGGCCCTCTCCCCGGGTCAATCTGAACATGGGCCACACCACCATTGTTTCTCCTTCCAGAACCAGCAGCCTTGGGCCGGGGATTTAGCTCAGTGGTTCCACTGCCTGCCTCGCAAGCCCAAGGTCCTGAGTTCAATCCCTTGTATCAAAAACAAAAACAAGGCCGGGCAAGGTGGCGCACGCCTGTAATCCCAGCACTCAGGAGGCTGAGGCAGGAGGATCGCTGTGAGTTCGAGACCAGCCTGAGCTACATAGTGAGTTCCAGGTCAGTCTCACTACATAGTGAGACCCTGTCTCAACCC